CCCGCCCCCAGCACTCACATGATGAACTCGCTTGATTGACAGACGGCGGTGGCCACGCCCCCCACGATGACCCAGGGGTTGAGCACGGTCTGTCCCCCTGTCACCGATGTCCCCCCGTCCTCGGCCGCGTCCCGGAAGCCCTGGATGATCAGCGGCATCACCTTGTCCCGCTCCTGGGGGGACACGACGGTCCCTGTCAACCTCGAGGTCACTGTCACCCCCAGTGTGTCCCCTGTCACCCCCAGTGTCCCTGTCACCCTCAGCGTGTCCCCTGTCACCCTCGGGGTCACTGTCACCCCCAGGGTCACTGTCACCCCCAGTGTGTCCCCTGTCACCCTCAGGGTCACTGTCACCCTCGGGGTCCCTGTCACCCTCAGGGTGTCCCCTGTCACCCTCAGGGTCCCTGTCACATCCAGGGTCCCTGTCACCCTCGGGGTCCCTGTCACCCTCAGGGTCCCTGTCACCCCCAGGGTCCCTGTCACCCCCAGTGTCCCTGTCACCCCCAGTGTGTCCCCTGTCACCCTCAGTATGTCCCCTGTCACCTCTAAGTCCATGTCAACCCATCACTGTCCCCTGTCACCCCCAGTGTGTCCCCTGTCACCCCCAGTGTCCCTGTCACCTCTAAGTCCATGTCAACCCATCACTGTCCCGTCACCCCCAGTGTCCCCCAGCACCCTCAGTGTCCCTGTCACCCCATGGTTCCTGTCACCATCTCAATGTCCCCTGTCACTCTCTATGTCCTCTGTCACCTCCTGTGTCCCATCACCCCCCCAGTGTCCATGTCACCCCCCAGTATCTCCTGTCACCCCACCATGTCCCTGTGACCCATCCCTGCCACCCCAATATTCCTGTCACCCTCCCATCCCTGCCACCCCCATGTCCCCTGTCCCCAACGTGTCACTGTGACCCCTCCTCTGTCACTGTCACCCCCGTGATTCCCATCACCCTCGTGTCCCTGTGCCCCCTGGTGTCACTGTCACCCCCTGGCAGTCACTGTCCCCCTGTGTCCCTGGGCCCCCCCAGTCTGTCACCTGATGTCCCTGTCCCCAACCTGCCCTCGCCACACACCTGTCCTGTGTCCCTGTGCCCCTTCCACATCCCTGCCACCCCTCCATGTCCTTGTCACCACCCTGCCACCCCCATATACCTGTCTCCCTGTCCCCCACCGTGTCTGCTGTCCCCACACTGTCCCCGCCGTGTCCCCTGTCCCTGTCACCTCCTGGCTCATGCGCTGGCTGACGCTCAGCAGCATCAGGACATTGTCACACTGGGTGACAGGGCTGTGTCCCCGTGTCCCCCCCGTGTCCCCCCGTGTCCCCCCGTGTCCCCCCGTGTCCCCTGTCCCTGTCACCTCCTCGCTCATGCGCTGGCTGACGCTCAGCAGCATCAGGACATTGTCACACTCGGTGACCCCCATGGCGTACAGGTCGCTCAGGACGTTGGCGCAGGCGATGCGGCCCTGAAATGGGGAGAGGGGGTTTGGGGGGGCTCCAGGACAGGACTGGGGGATCCCGGTGGTGTTTGGGGTCCCAAAATGGGATTGGGGGGGGGTCCAAAGTGGAGTTTGGGGGCCTTGGGATCAAATTCTGGGGGTCCCAAGGGGATTTTGGGGGCTCCCTGGGAGGATTTGGGGTCCCCAGGTGGGATCTGGCAGGGCCAGGATGGGACTAGGGGTGCCCAGGTGGGATTTGGGATCCCCTGGTGGCATCTGGAGGTCCCCAGGTGGGATTTAGGGAAGCCCAAGTTGGAGTTTAGGGGGCCTAGGACAGAACTGGAGGGCCACAAGGGGATGTTGGTGGCCCTTAGGGGGATTTGGGGAACCCAGGAGAGGACCAAGGGATCTTGAGGGGATTTTGGGGAGCCAAGGAGGGCTTGGGACCCCAGGGATAGGACTGGGGGGGGTACAAGGGGATTTGGGGTCCCAAGCTGGGATTTGGGGGGGTGTAGAGGAGGACACTGGGGTCTGCAGATGGAATTTGGGGGGCCTGCACTAGGACCGGGGGGGCCTGAAAGGATTTGGGATGCTCAGGGAGGGATTTGTGGGGTCTAGGGTAGAACTGAGGAACCCCAAAGAGATTTGTAGAGGGGCTCAAAAGGATTTGGGAGTCCCAAGAGGGAGGAAGAGAATCAGAGGTTCAGAGGGAAACTGGGGGGACTCCTGAAGGGATGTGAGGGTTCCCTGGGGGGTTTTGGGTTCTTGAGAGGTTTGGATTTGGGAGGTCCCTGGGGGCAATCTGGGGTTTCCCAAGAGTCCTGATGGGATCTGGGGGGTCCCCAGGGGTGATTCTGGGGTATTTATGGGGTCCCAGAGGGGCTCAGGGGGTGCTGGGGAAGGGGTTTGGGTACCATCATGTAGGGGTCATCGATGATGGGGTAGAAGAAGTCGGTGGTCTGCACCAGCGAGAGCCCCCCGTGCCGCAGCGGGATCACACACGAGTCCAGCCCGATGCCTGCGGGCACCGAG